ATTCGTTTTAACCATAAGCTTAAGATTAGCGACCAAGAACAATGAAATAATAATCCACTACTTCATAATTAAATTCTTTCTTGAAAATTCCTCCCAAATTATTATAAAAATACTTGAATATGGTAAATTACTGTTTTCATAGTATGTTTAATACCTCATATGTATATTTAGTTTTACCACCGACCGCTTTGTGTAGAGAGTACTTGGCTGCAATGTGGCTCATTAATTTATCCTCTTCATTGTATTTCTAGTTTAGAAATAGTAATTTTAAAAATGTATCACCTGTTTTTCTGTGATGGATTCATTAGGCTGTAATGAGCAGTTATTAATTTAAGGCTGTCAGCGGTAAATGCCTATTATAATGATATTACATATGTCTCTTACAAAACTGTCGTTAACTTAGTGCTCTTGATAAAATTTGAAAAATGTATTTTTTGAATTTATTGTTCACTTTGCTGATGAATTTTCGGATCTTTGCCGGTGTAAATGTTTCATGAAAATTGAGTTTTCACTACTTGACGATTATTCTTATAATTATATTCTTTTCTCATATAAAAAAGAATATACTTTCATAAAGTTCTAAAAGATGGGATTGAATGCGTTGTTTAACAAAGAGCAAGTAATTGTTTCAGAAAAAACTGTTTTCATTTTTCCGAGTTCGAAATTAACTCTAATTTTCATCCTTTTCGGAATAAGTATAGTAACCTTTGTGATGAGTATNGATTTACTAATACAATTATTAAGATACTATTTTAATATTTTATAAAGCATATAAGGGTATAAATCAAGTAAAAAAATTTTCAAGAAACGTAAATTGAAAACTTTGTGAATTTAAAAAAAATGTTAAATAAAACGTAAACCAAAAATTTCACTTTGAGGCTTGAATCAATAACAAGTTACAATATACTTATTATGGAAATTTCCACCTTTGATCACGCCATCGTCTAATTTATGTGACTTAGTGTGTAGAGCAAAGAAGTATCATTACCGAATATCTCATAACGTATAATTTTTTATGTTGAAACTTTTATTTTATTTAATGTAGTTAAGTGCATCACTTTTCGTTCAGAGAAAAGAGTGTAATATTTAATAATATTGTAATGATATTACTTTGTGTAATTGTTTTTGTATAAAGTAAATTTTATGTAAAAAAAATTTCAAATCACAGATACTTGGACAGTGATAAGAGTTTTAAACGAGTAAACAATGAGTACGAAAAAATTTTTTTTTTAATTGTCCAAAGTTTGAAAAGTATTTTAGAATTACGAAGTAAAATAAGTATAAAAAAATTTGCCTTCTAAGAGTACAGAACCAAGACCAAAACACAGGGCGAACGTGCGAGCTTTTAACTCTGACCACGCCGCCGTCTATGTGTACGAGTGTAGGGAGTATAAACGGCTCAAGAGGTAATAGCATGTAACATGACATTTTTTCGAATTTAATTGGTTTGATTATCGAATTTTCTCATTGTGACAACGTAAAACACTTGATTTTAAGCTTGACTTAGTCTTACAAATTACTAATCATGACTGATACGTATGTATCTTACAGTTACTCACTAGATAATTATTAAATATTTTTCAACAAAATTTAAATACTTAACAGTTTAATATAAACGTAAACTTTGGTATACCGAAACAAATTTGGTACAAGAAAGGTCATAAGTCTAAAAAAATAGGTTTTTAATACGAAAAAAAGTAACTGATTAATGAGTTCGCATTTTTCTCTATGTATTCAAACGGAAAAAAAGTTGCTGTAACTTTCTCAGTATCAAAGATCAAATGTTGACATCTAGTTTATGACTTTTTTTTTATTGCATTTAAAACGTTGGACTAATAGTAAAGAATTTCTTTTACGACAACACGTCTAATCATAAATGGATTTTTTTTCCTATTGGTAATTATAATAATTAAGGGATGAGAGGATGCACTAACGCAGAAGGTCAGTACAAAGGGCCAGAAACGTTTTATCTATAACGTTATGAGAGCCGCTGAGGGTATTTATGTTTTAATTGTATTATTCGGGATAGCGCGAACGCAGTCCCGGCTAACAAAAATTATACGCCCGAGATACCCACATTAGGGGTATTCGCAAGGGTCAGCCCAATCGTAGTGCAATGAAAGAGCCTCGCCCTGGAGGAACCGCCTTGTTGATCACGGTAACCTCTGCGCCAGGTAAGTATGCCGAGAAGGGCTGATACTGCCTTCTTATAAGCGCAACTTTTGAATACACTTTTGGGAGTATCAACGTTTTGTGTTCGTTGCCACAACGACCTGAAGCTTTGACATCTAACGGTTGAATGTCAAACTGCGAGTAGGGCTGCAAGCAACAGCAACGCCACCAACGACATCGTACGTCGTACACAAATGCACATCTATACGGCGCCGATGAACAGCTTTCCTAGTATGTGTGAGTGGATAGAGTGGATTCACTTGGATTGGTGGAATCATCAATTGACCGGGAAAATTAATTCGCTTGAAATTTTTTTTAACCACCTGGTTAAAAATATGCAACTTTTTAAGAAAGTAGAGTTAAATTTGTGAGATAAAAATGTAGTCTGAAATTCTTTGACCAATTTTTTTTTAAACAAGTTACGAAAAGTAACTCATTTTGATAAAAAAAAAATTTTTTCTCATCTATCAAATCAAAACAAACAGAAACTGTTCTTACAATCTTTCCACATGTTACTTTTTGAATTCGATGGATGTTAAGAAAAAATTATTGAAATCGAAATTGAGTTCCAAAATTAACGTGAAAGTATTCAGCGTTGTTTAATTTCTATGGAAAATTTAGTAATGTACGCAATACGCACAAAGTAAAATTGAATCTGATCTATTATCAAGTAGGTATAAAATAAATAGTGGAGTTAAGTTAAAATAAATCGTCAATAAAATGAGGTGATGTCAATTTTAATAACAAAGTAACCCAATTTATATTGGTCAACTGATTACATTTTTCACCATTTTTATCTTTACTAGAAAACTATTCAAATTTTTTTTTTTAAAACTTTATTTAATGCCTGTTTTCTTAGTGTGCTAAAATTAAATATAATTTACTTTGAAAACATACTATTAGATTAAATAAAGCTGTTGTTAAATAGTTATGTATGTTTTCAATTCTTGTAAATTTTTACAACTGTTTTTTTAAATGTACTGTAAGGTTGACAGTAGTTTTCAGAAAATAATATTTATTTTGTGAAAATTCCGTCAAACTTATTTTTCAATCTAATGTGCAAACTAATTTTGATTTTCAAAATTATTTGCTTATAAATGTTTAATATCCTACACTCGCAATGTTTTCTGCGGAACATGACATAACTGTCAACATGTTTTCCAATTTTTTTATGCAACCGGAAGTAAACAAAGTTTAATTTATTTTTATAAAAGATATACTAGTTTTGAACATAAGAAATTGATCTTAGCAGGTGATGAAGATTTCAAAAACTTTATTTTAAACATTTTTGATGTAATTAAATCAATTTTTAATTAAAATTATTGCATGATAAAAGTAATTAAAATTAGGTTAATAAAGATTAAGCACTACATTTACATGATTGTCTGCTACTTTGAAATNTCCACTCTCGGTTAATGTATAGAATGGGACGTGTCGCGCCTCTGGCCCTTCAATTAGCATATTTCTGTATGGGTTATTGATTTTCTTTTTCCTTTTCTTTTTTACTCTGTTCACCTATTCTGTTTTTATTGATATGGTGCCTTTCGATGAGAGCGATGCGTAACGCTTAAATTATCTGTACCTCCATATATGGTTATATGAATGTGATGCAAGTATACAAGCATTTAAATGGTCTATAGATAAAAAATGTTACTGTAATCTGTGTAGTATATATTATTTGGATCTTTTTTAAAAGAATTGAAACATTTCGGGGATAAAAAAATTTTTTTGTAGTTTAATAATCATGGAATGTTTATTCTGAGTTGCAATTAAGTGTTTGAAAATTGAAAAACCGTTAACATTGGGTTGATATACAAATGTTTCTGAAAAATTATGTATAAATGTAAATATTGCAACTTAAAACATTTGCAATTCTTAGGAGTCACAAAAAAAAGGTCGAATGTAAAACCATAAAATATTTTTTTAACTACGTATAAAAAACGTGTCCTGGTGGTTTGAAAATATGGAATAACAACTTCGAGTTATGAGTAATTGAAATTCATAAAAAAATTTTCTTCTACATCTAAATAGTTTACGAAAGTTTTCAAAATAAATTTTTAATATTTAAGGAGGTTCGGGAGAAAAGTTCAAAATGGAGAAACGTGCCAAAAAATGTATGTTACATTTCAGCATATTATGAGTGCACATGAATTTTTTCAGATTTTTTACCAGGGGAAATTTTCAAGAAAAAAATTATGAAATATTGACAGTTTAATACGGTCTCTTAAGGGAGAACAAGGTTAAGTTGGCTTTTAATTGAAATTAAGGTATATTCTAAATGTGTTGGAATAAAAAAAAACGTTTTCATAGATACCTTGTTACAAAAGGAAGATACTTGACGAAAAAAATCAAGCTTTGCCAGGCGTTTTCAAAAGTATAAGCAGTTACAGTCGTACAGTTTAAAGTTTGTAGAGTATACAAGAGGAGGTGCGCGGTAAAGGGGGCCCAGATGCGCGGGCAGGGGGGACTCCCCGTTCCTCGCCTCTCTGAATGATACTCCCAAACCTCCTTAAAACAAGCCAAACAATTTGGTAATTGTTGATGAAATAGTTATTATAAACAATCGGTTTGCAAAAACTAGTGAAAACTTTGCGTTACTGGGGCCAAAATGAATTGCAAAGAAATAGATTGAGGTATCCATGGATCTCTATCGGGACAATGTTATCAGTACGAGTTCCGTGCTATATCTATACTTATAGCTCAAAGGCGTAAGGAAAACAACTATGATAAGAGTTCGATTATTCTTATCACATTCAATGTGTACATAAGCATCTGTGTACGTGCGATTAACAAGCACATGGCACGTACTTGTTTTTTTATTATTTCGATCGGGAGAGCGAATACGCACTCCCGGCTAACAAAAATTGTACGCCCGAAGTATCCTCACTAGGGATACTCGCAGGGCTTAGCTCGACCGACAGTGCAATGGAAGAGCCTTGCCCTGGAGGAACCGCCTCGTTGATCACGGTTAACCTCTGCGCCAGGTTAGTATGCTGGTACCTGTCACACGAGTCTACTTGTGCTCTTGGCTGACATCTTCACTTGTGGGCACGCCAATGCTATGCCATGCGTAAGACTAGAGTAAAAATAGCACTGTCATCCGAACAAGTGCTCCTCCAGGGACCGTCACCAGACCTTCGGAACAGATGTGTACAAATAATACACCGTTCTAGGAGACAATGACGTGGCGCTTTTTTTGCGCAGGGTTCCGTAAATACTCGAATAAAGCCACGACCACGAGGACGACTTGGGCGCTTGCCACCTAGCGAGCTTTTAAAGAGTTAACGCGATAGCTTTTATCTTCTGAGTCGAGAGCTCGCGCCTCGCGCCTCGCGGAGTACCTATATAAATATACAGTTATGTATTTTGAGATTCTTCGGGTCTCGTTCGTACATACTGAATAAAATGAACAACCGGAAATAAGTAGATGTCGATGATTGCTTCAACTATATCTTTATTTTTATTAATGCTAAGTATAAATATGATGAATCACTATTTATATTGTAAACAGCAAGCAGTATGTGTTACTTGTACGCAAAAAAAAAACCATTTGTGATAACGATGTTAATCTAATTTTATATTTTATTTGTACATGTAGTTCATGATGAATTTTAAAAAATAAAAAGAGGAGTACAAAAAAAAATCTGCCAAATAAAGGAACGCTCGAGAACGCTAAAAATTTTGTGTCTCTAACTTTTGTACACAAATAAAATTATGATTCTAAATCTCGAATATTATTAAATTCTTAGGACA